CTTGACTAAAACTTTGCACCTCTTGACCAATTTTTATTTTCTAATATCAAAATACATCTATCATGCTAGACATCTCTATTATGATTTATCAAATATCCAATTTAATAGAAGTTTACTCTGTAGTAAAACATTTTAAAAGCCATTTTAATATTCTTACAATATTCTAAATGCTTATGTAATTATGTAATTTCTATTTTTTTCAAAATTATGCTTGATTATAAAATATAAATATATAGGCTTAAATGAAAAAAATGACAGATCTTTTCTATTTTATGTTGTAAATTGAAATTATGACTGAGTAGACTTAATATCACTTAAATTTTATTTTTCATAACATGCAAAGACAATTCAGTAGTCCCACTGTAGTGGCACCCCCTCTTCCACAGAAAATCTTAACTAAGCTTCTCCAGAAATCTTCACCTTAATTGATTTTAGGACTATCAGCAAAAGAGTCTCTACCAAAGAGTTCAATGTAGGTAAACTTCCTATTTTCCTGTTGCTCTATTACTTGGCCACTGGCCTGGAAGAAGTTAGCCCTCCAGGTGCTGAATGCCCCCTTACTAGTTTTTCACAAACATTTATCCAGTATAGTAGTTTGTAGATGTGTTTTTGGAAATGCAAAATGTGATTTAAAAAAAAAGACAGATCCTTTAGCAAGGCCTTCAGCCTTGAGCTGGGCTTCAAGAGATGTCTACATTTCTAAGATAATTTACCAACTGGGCTCCATGGTAACAACTGGCAGGGGGAGGAGAGAAAGGGGAGAAGAAGCTCCCCCCTTCTCAGTTGTTATCCTTTAAAGGTTAACTTGCCCAGAACAGTGAAACAAACAGCTGCTTTTATGTGAACTTCTGTGGACTGTGAACTTCTGTGGACTGTGAACTTCTGTGGACTGTGAACTTCTGAGCCCCTCCCCTTACATGCTGAGTATAAAATTCTGAAACTACCTGAATTCGGGTTCAGGGGATTAATTGATTACAGTGAAAGCTGTGCCCTCTGAACCTGGCTGCAGCCAAATAAAACTGTTTCCTGCCATCTTCGGTGCTTTGCCTCGTCTGTCCCCTTCAACACAATTTTCCATTTCATTTTATTTATTTAACAAGCATTGTAACTGACACATAATTATTATCTACACATCTAGGGATATCATGGTAATCTGATACATGGATATGGCATGAAATGATCAAATCAGAATAATTAGCATTTCTATCCCTTTGAACACTTATCATTTCTTTGTGTTTGTAGTACATGAAGTCTTCTCTCCTAGATTTTATGAAGCATGTAATAAATTGTTTAAAACAGTATTTACAACACTAGAACTTGCTGAGAGCCACAGCCAGTCTGTATGGCCCCTGGGCATTTTGCCAACAGTATTGATTGACAGGTGAGGCATCAATATCCGTCTCTGCCACTACTTTTGAGTTCTCGCGCTATTTTGGAGTTCTCATGGGGATTTCCGGGGATTCCCCGAGAGTTCCCATTGGTTAGGGAAGTACAGGAGGAGGGATTTCCCAGAGAGATATTTCCGGCTGGGGGTTCCTGAAGGAGCCTCGTGGCTTTTCGAGAGAATTCCCCAGGAGCGTGTGTGAGGTTTTTTCTTGCAGTTCAAAAATAAAGTTTGTTCCTGCTTCAGTGGCTCATGATTTGTGCCCAGCCAGACTGCGGCAGAACTTATTCCTCCTATGTAACAGTATTTTGGTTCCTGTTATCAACCTCCTTCCATCCTCTCCCCCCTTTCGAACCTCTAGTGATCATTGTTTTACTCTTCAATTCTATAAGATTAACTTTATTAGTTCCCATATATGAGTGAGAACATGTAAAATTTGTCTTGCTTTGCCTGACTTATTTTACTTAGCATGGTGCCCTCCATTTCCAACCATATTGCCACCAATGTCAGGACTGTATTGCTTTGTGGATGAAATATTCCATTGTGTATATTCGACACATTTCCTTTACCATTCATCTGTAGGTGGACACCACAGCTGATTCCATAGCTTAGCTATTGTGAAAACTGCTACAATAAACATAGCAAAAATCATTCTGGCCTGAAGAGTTTCTGCTATGAAATTTGCTGCTGTTCCTGTGAAGGTTTCCTTAAGTGTTGCTTGGTATAATTCTCATGTTTTGTTGTTATTGTTTTTGTTGTTGTCATTGCCAAAGAATAAGCTCTTTGTCGTGGACCTAGTTTGACTATAATGTGTCTTAGAGAGGACCTTTCATGAGTAAACCTTCTTTCACTTTTAGTGTTTTTGAGTCACGATTTTGACCTCTCCTCAGAGAACCAGAATGTAAAGGTTGTGCCTAAATACCTGGAAAATAAGAAGAGGGATCAGTGTTAACATCTGCTTGATGCAGAAAATGATAGCCTATGATAAAGGTGCAGGCTCATGAGGACATCTCCATCTCTCTCATTTTTCCCCCAAATGAAAGGTACATGTTAAATAATCTAGACTCAAATAATTATGTTAGCCGTTCAAAGGAAACCAAATATTTCAGCTTGTGTTTACAGAATCAACTAGAAGCAATTTACTAAAAAAAGAATCCATGTTAAAAAAAAAAACAAGGTTGCAAACTAATACACACATGCACACAACCCACACATACATTAAGAAGAAGTTCTCCATGGGTCTCTGAACATTCTGCCCACCTTGTAACAAAGGGGCATCAACACCTTCTGCACTGGATGACAGTTTCAAGGATGATTTCTATAGCACATTAATTTCTACAGATATCTCTTCCTTTCCAAGCCGAGGACACCACAGCATCTCCACCAGCATAATAAATACAATGTAAATAAAATGCTTCCTTCCATGGCAAAGGTCTGGAGAATTTGCCGGCAGCTCCCTTAGCAGATGCAGTGGTTTGCAATCTGGGAGTTCCCAGCTATGACACAAACTGTGTACACAGCATCCATCTGTGACACTTTGAGTCATACTCTTGAAAATCATACTTTTTTGAAAATACATTATCTAATATACAGTGAAGTCCATCGTTTGGAGTGTTGTTAAAATGATTTCTGAAGACCCATGGCCCACTGAAACCAAGCCAATAGAACTTTCTCTTACGCTCAAGAGCAAAAAGATTTGATTTAAAAGTACAATGCCATATCAACATTGATTCTGTGAGTGTAATTCTATACCACAAATGATTTTTGAAATTTAAAGTCAAGCTATTAATGTAAGTGATCAGATATGGCAGACTTTCCAGAAACTGAGGGAAAACAATATAATTTTAATCATATTAGTGGATGCAACATTTATGACTTTAAGCTTACCTACCAGAAAGAATAAAGATTGATTTTCTATACACACTCTAGTGAGCTTGAAGGCATCTCCAGAGGTTACAAAACGGGATTACTTACAATTGTTTCATTAGATAAATGCTTTGCAGAGTGAAAGGTAGCCTTGATAAAAATCACTTTTCCACAAAGCAAACCAATCAAAAAGCCACAGGATAGAAAGCACTCTTAAAAGAAGAAAGACATTTTGGTGGAAAACTACAAATTATGTCATTTTGCATCAGAGCAAAGAGAAAGTGCTAATTTTCTTGTTTATCATCAGTGAATGAACTCTCTATTCCTATGAACCACAGAGAACATATAACATCTCACTCCATGTAGAAAATATTAACTCAGGATACATTTTCTAAGGTCTTATGTATTGGGTAATTAATTAAGTAGGTTAAACTTTTATTGGATAATTTTTCACTTCCCAAAAAGAGATAGAAAGAGATCTCACCCCTACCCCAACCAAAAAAAAAAAAAAAAACGAA